GAATATACCAGGTAAGTTCTCCATGTAAGGCCTCGCAAAACAAGATGTATCAGTCGCTCAAACGTAGCTGGAGCATTACAGAATCCGGAAGGCAGTACGTTAAACTGGTATAAATCGCTTCCGGTACTGAAGGAAGTTTTCTCTTTGTCATCTTTGTGTATTGCCACTTGCCAGTATCCACTTTTGAGATCCACGGTGGAAAACGTTGTTAATATATCGTCTATCCTCGGGAGAGGGAAACTGTCCTTCTTGATGACGTCATCAAGCTTACGGTAATCCACATAAAATCTAAGACTTCTATCTTTCTTCGTAACCAATAGTACTGGCGCAGACCATGGACTATTTGACTTTTCAATAATTTATCAATTTAAGTTTTCTACTTCCTTTGCTTCAGATTCAATTTTCTCGGTTGTTGCAGCATTCCCTTTAGACTTAGCTTTTTTCTCTTCTATTTTCTCAATTTTAGCCAATTTACTTGGAAGCTCCTCAGTTGTAGCCTCGCCAGGAATTTGTCTTCTTGCGGCATTTTCGAAGCATATTGCTTTGAAGCTAGAAATAACTGTAACATCCTTGATGTCTGGAAGTTTAGTTTAGCTCTTAGTATTGCTCTCACGAGTAATTACTTCAAACATCAAACTTGCTGACTTGGCAGTTTTGGAGAAGAGTTGTTTTTGGGAGTCAGTGCTGCCAGTGGAATAGAAGGCAATTTTTCGCGTTTTTCCCAACTTTCTAATGCAGCAAGAACGTCACTGAAGACATGAGATTCTAGATCTTTGCTTTCGTAGCCTTTTTCATAAATGACGCAATGGATGGTTTTAAAGCCTTGGTTTTCACTACCATTCTCAGTGAGTTCTTTTACCAATTTGATGGCAGCTTCGAAGTTAAGGTCTTTGTCTTCTTCGCTTCAATCGAGTCATCGTTCCATTTGCTTTTCCAAACTTCTACGTTTTTGGTTGCAAAGAGAAAGCGAGTTTCCTTGGATTCTCCATTAGTCGCCTTGTCATTATCAACCGAATCCCCATTCTCTACACCGTTTGCGATGTCTTTTTTGTTTTCTTTTTCATCTTCAGCGTTCTTAGTAACAGTCTCTTCCATTTCGGAAAGCTCTGGCTTCTCTTTAGTAGAGCTGACATCACTTTCAACTTTAGATTCTCCAGTTTTGTTGTCAGCCTGTTGTTTCTTTTCTTCTTTCTTACTTTCAGGCTCCACTTCTCGGCAATTTCATTGTCCTGTTTTTCTTTTTTTCGTTTAGCTTTTTCTTCTTATTTTTCTTTATGTCGTTTAGCTTTTTCTTCCTGTTTTTCTTTTTGTCGTCTGGCCTTTTCGTCTTGTTCTCTCGTAATAGGCATATACATCTACAGTGTTCACTTAGTGTCCAAACTACTCACTAGTGTCCGCACTATTCTGCAATCGGATTTCACTGTGCAGTCCTCGAAATTTATCTCACTTCTGACACCAATGTCACGGCTCTGGAGTGCTCGACAGAAATCTTGGGTCCGTTTATTCCAAAAATCAAAGTCTAATTAACACAACGATAATTTATTCTACGTTACTATACACTCTGGCACTAACTACTACACTAATTAGCTCAAACAACTTAATTGTTTACAACTCTGAGGAAAACCACCTATTTGAAATATTATTTCTTCAAATCTTAACTTTTCAAAACGTTTACTATAGAAAGGAAATGGTAAATGTTGTAACCATATGCGCTGTAAAGTTTATGGGAACGAGGACGCACCACGAAAAGGTACCGAAGGGTAGACACAGAAAATGAGAGACCATGGAAGAAGCTGCTTGTCGGGCATTGTTCATTATTCAATATTTATTTTTTCTTAAACTGATTGTTCGATCAAGTTTGTGATTAGTTTGTGTGTCATGAGGAGCATTGAGCATTCACAGGTCAGTTGAATAATAGTTATTTTTGTCACAAGTACTTAAAATGAAGTTTTTCAGAAAAACTTCTTTAGGTACGTGTGACAAACACTTTTTTTTGTCATACGCTTTTTAGAATTCTTCAAAACGCTGAAATTTGCAAAATTTCCTTAATTTTTGAAATTATACTCCTTGACAAAATTATCGCACCACTGCTTATGGTGCTTATGTAATTTTGTCCAGGAGTATATAAAGGTGCTTCCAGAAAGAAAAAAAAATCCTAAAAAAAAGCATTTTACGGACTTGAATGAGTTCGTAAAATAGCTGTTTTTGGGAGCGTATGACAAAATTGGTATTCAGAACGTGCATCAGGGCCTTGTTGAATCTACTAACACTTTCCTACCCTGACGAGCGAATATCCTAGCAAAAAAATTGAAAGATAAGTCTAGAGATAAATAACAACTATAGCTGAGTAGCCCCTCGAATGGGACCTCAGTACCTGCTGGCAGACTGGCTAACAAACCAAAAACTCTTCAGTATTGAATATAGGTGGTGTTGATTGAATGTAGTGTGGGGAATTATAATTCTAGCACAAGGACAGGGACGGTAACTAATTTAAAGTATTATTGACTTACAATTACAATTATTATTAAAATGTCATAGTATGTTTTGATTTTTGACGAATGGAGATCGAGGGTTTCTCTGCCGTGCTCTTTTCCCTCGTGAATTCCAGGTCGAGAACGGTACGATTTTCTAATAATAAATTAAATGTTTCACAAATTTTTCGTTTATTTTACTTATCACAACTTCTCTTAAATTTCCCTAATTTTGCTATTGTCCGGCGCATTTCAAGTAAGTATAATTGAGTAAGTTTCGACAACGTAGGTTCTATTGGCTTTTCATTTCGTTCTTCAGAAGATTTGTTAAAAGAAGAAATAATAAAAATTCAAACCGTTTAATCTTGCTGTTATACTACAACTCTCACAAAACTTACTATCTAAATCGTATCCCAGTCAATCTTAAAACTAAAAACTATTTACTAATACCGTCCTTTATATATCTGTAATCCATTCTTGTAGAATCCAGAATAAACACGATTATCTCTTTGTCCGAATAAGGCAGTATTTTCTAGATTTCAAGTTAGATTCTGTACACCATGGCGAAAGCGCACCGCGACAGTATCATATTATTGGTCGATCACTCTCGCCAGCTGGAGCTCAGTAGATCTAGTTCCGAAACCAGATTTTGCTCTTAGAAGGATTTTGTTGTCCTCTCGAAGACTTTTCCCTTTTGAATCCAGTAGAGACACCAGTCTGCAATTTTTGGGTTTTCTGAGTTTTGTTTGAGGAAAAAACTCTAATTTTGACCTGCTGTGAAGTATAGGTAGATACTCTTTTCTTAGACATGCATTGAAGATGTAGAATTGTGGATAGTTATGGCTACATTCAAATGAAAAGTTCCAGCTATTATAAATTAATTTGTTCTTTTATGAACTTAAAAGTGAATGTGAGCATTATTAACTTTGAAAATAGTTGATATCAAACAATATTGAAGTTGAGTTGAAGTAACAAGCTTTTGGTCTTTAATTTTTGAAGATTTTTCAAATTTTGCCTACGTTTCGTCTTTCGATGATGGTTGCCATGATCTTCAGGGCTTGGGTGTTGAATTAATTCTATTGCTGGAGGGGGAAAAATCCTGTTCCACTATGAGAAAAACGTGATATGTAATATATAAACAGACAGACTCATCCCGGAAACACACAACAACACTATCAGAATATGTTTTTTTTTAAGTAACTTTCATGGGTAGTAAAATCTTTTTTTCCAGGAAATTATTCCCTTAAAATTTAGCCTAGCAAAAATCCATTCAGTTAGAATAATCCAATTTTCCTGTTTCATTAGTGCAGCTAATGCAATGTAAAACAGGGCAAAATAAACATCATAAAACACGTGTCTGGTATTTCAGCGGTCATATAAATTTCATTGCGCGTCAGCATTTATTGGCTGTAAAAATTTCGACCAAACAATAACTGTCTATTATTGTGATTGAACGGAATTATTATTACTTTGAAATCGATAGAGTTTTACTGGAATACTTTTAATATTCAAAGCTTTTTCTGATATTTTTTTTCAAAGGAAAGGAAACTGTCTGATTATGTAAATTCTTGGACCTCGTCCAATCTAGAAACACATTGCTTGTATCTGTATCAGGTACGTACATAGGTAGGTACAAGACAATTAATAATGCAAGCGCATTAAATTAATCACCAAAATATTTACAAAAAATTCAACGTGTGTATACAATTTGCACATTTTCATTACGACATAATAAAAATCTATAGTTTCCCAATAAATATAAGTCACATAGGCAAACATAAATGTTTACCCTTGCCTCCGGAAAGTTAAAAGATTGGAGGATGGTTTTATTTATTCTACCAAAATTAACTTTGAGTTTATGAGAAAAAAAAGTGAATTAAACAATTAGTTTTCTAAAATATTTGTTGAATTTTTCCAAATAATGACAATAATGCAAACAAATCGGGCAAACAATAAGGTCAATTTTATTTACTTACCAATTTCGATCACATCTAGCCTAACAGTTTACTTTGATTCATTAAATTCGTATCAAAGCTCAAATTAATAAAAATCGACGAGAGATTTTATTTTTAGATATAATAAACCTAAATAACTATTTATGTTGGCCGTCACGGAAATGTTTAGTTTTTATGATTGAAAGATGTGGAATCTAAATTTAGAAAAAAGCTCTCCTATTATGGTAAATTATATTGCTTGCATTCATGAATACTCTTCAGATGCTCATTTTATCAGCACACATTTTCCACCAAAAAATAGCATCTTTCAATAAGATTCAATCCAACGAAAAAATTCCCATGTTTCCTGCTCCACTGCACAATATAAGCTGTTGGTGGAAATATTTCGTTCGTATTTTGAACTACTGCGTACATTTTTCTGTACCGGGGATTACTTCCTTTGTGAAGTAAGAATATTAAATTCTTTTTGGGGAAAAGTTTAGCATGAACTACTGCGGTGGTGATTTATGAATAGAAGCAAGACTTAATAAAAGTGGCAATTTTAATTTATGGTCAATTTATTTTTGTTTTCCAGATACCCCTACGTTTTTGGTGGAATGTTCTGCTTCCTTCGAGGATTATTAGCGGAAACTTCGGGAAACGCCACTGTACTTACTATAACTGGTTTTACAGTTGAACGGTACTTGGCCATCTGTCACCCATTTTTATCTTATACGATGTCCAAGCTGTCCAGGGCTGTTAAGTTCATCTTAGTTATATGGCTGGTAAGTTTCACTTTTAAAGCATATTGAAATTTTAACTAGAAATCACTTAAGGAAAATAGTTTTTGAGAAGAAAAGTAGAAGCTTTCAGTCTCTTGAGTTTTATCTAAACTTGAGTTTACTTTTAAAATTAGGAGCATTATATTCCTTACTTTTTTCTCGATATCATCAACGATGTGGAAATTGCAATATTGCTGAATGCGATCTGAAATCTGGTTCTTTCTTTTGCCGTATTTCAGTAAAGGATTCATTTTCTCCGGGCATTTCCTCATATTGACTAACAATGGAGTAAGAAAATCCATTATCAGACGATAAAAGGGAATGTCTAAAGAAAATATGAGGCTTGAACTGTTATCATTTCTTAAGATTATAATATACGCTAAATATTCAACAATAAGAGGCCGCTCTTAAGTACAATTAGAAGAAAATGGATATGAAAACTTAGGATGAAATATTCTTGGAAGATGGCTTTTTTAGCTTAGCAACTTAATATAGGTTCCGACAGATAAAGACTACAATAAATCTCGCTTCAGTTCACCCAGATTTATATAAACTTTCTAACTCATACGCCAGCAGAATTATTTTGAGATTATCAACGGCCCAAATCTTAACTTTTTGTATAAAATTAAATGTTAGAAATCTATAAGGCACATCCACACTCATACAAGGCTGAATGTCTATGATTTTGTTTCCAATATAAACTTCCGACAACTTCAGGCACCTACTGTAACATTACAAATGTAACTTGTTTTTTTTCTATAAATAATAAAGTCTGTTTTTTTTTTAAATAATTCCCCAAGTCAAAAATTTAGTAACTATGTTGGCAACACAAGCCTTTTCTAAATAAAAATTTGGAAAGCATTGACAATTTTACATTGTATTGCCAACATAATGTCATTTTGACTTTTATCTTGAAAAAAAAAAACAGACTTTATTTATATTTTAAATTTTCTATAATTATTCAGTTCATGTAGCAGCATCTGTTGCCGGCTGAATGTATTATTTTATCGGCGACCTCGAGAATGGAGTAGGCGTTTTCTTTTGTACTACCTCGATCTATTCGACGCCCAGTACTTAGTTGCCCTTTAACCTCGTTAATAGTTTTCGAACGTAGTAATTTTTACATAGTTGAGGGTCGACAGGTTGACAGTGTTTTTCTTCAGTACTGTCAAATGAAATCTATTTATTCTCGAAGAGAAAATTGAGTTGTGGCCTAATACAATATTGCGGAACTTAATAGTTACAATATGTTTGTATTGGGGAGTGGTTGAGGGCTAGATTGATTTTCTTCAGTAAAGACTTTGCCTTTACTGAAGAACAACCAAAAATTGAAATTTTGAATTGAATATGATTGCATACCTTGCTCCGGGATGAAGTTATCTCAAGTTTTCCTTTATAAGAGCTGTGCCGACTTCTGTTTAAGTGATTTCTCTTGTCCGTTGGGGGGAATCAATTGGACAGGCTGCTATATACCATCTTATTGACACCGGCTTGGTAGTAGGAGATAGAGTCGGATGGTTCTTTGGGAATAACGGTGCTTTCAATGGAAAAATTGCATTCCTAGGTGTGTTCGTCCGCACACTGATTTCTTTTCTATCCCTTCTTGGTTGAACCTTTTTACGGATAACTTGTATATGGCGGCTGATCCCCGTTGTATGCAAGGGATGAAAGGTCTCTCTTACTTCCTCTTCGGGAACTCCGCCCAGAACTAAATAATTACGTATAAATTGGCGTTTTATCCTTTCACTGCATGGGTTCTTTCCCTGTGTAGTTGTTTTGTACCGTTTCTCTTCTTAGTGTTATGGATGGCAAAATAATAATGAATAACGCTGAAAGTTCCGTCAAGTTTTTAGAAGACCCCACCTACTTATATGATTTTTTCTCAATTATGACTTCTTGATTATGACTTACCAAAAAATGACTCTGTTATCGACGGATGATACGCGATAGATATCAGACTAAAAAAACTTGACAACGACTTTCAACACTTTTCTTTTCTTTTCTTTTCTTCCTTAAGGTTTAAAGTCAACCCCTATTTTCTGAACCTTGTGTTCAAAAATTCCAAAAAAAAATATATGTTTTATGGTTATTGATATACTTTAATCCATAATTTTTTTGAGCAAATTTGACTCGCAATTTTTGAGTTATATCGCAAAAATTGAAAAAAAAAGTAGTTTTTTACCATTTATTTCAAAACGAATAGATGAAGTTTCCCATTATTTTTATTACGAACTACTATTGCAATTCTAAGCGACATATATTTTTTTCAAATTTTTTGAACTTGTACTTTTCTCGCTACTGCAAAAATAGTTGGAAATACGCCCGTAGCTACACTGTTTAGAAAAAAATCCGACGGATGAATGTTCAAAATTACTTGCGTTGGTCGAAACTACAACCCTGTTTACGTAAAACAGAATAATACTCCGAATTTCCGCCAAAAAAAGAAAAAACGTTCCATCACATAATTTAACCAAATGCAGATTTCTATTTTTTTTTGACAGTCAAGTTAGGGCACACTATAGGGGCGACAGCATTGACATCTCGCGTTGCTGTAATAAACTATAGGCCTGACTTTAAACCTTAACTATGTGATTTTTTTTTATATATCTGCTTACCTTACCTTGTTTTTAAGTTTATCGAAAAAAAATATATACTTCATGTATATATTTTTTTTCTTTCTGAAGGAGGACAGTGTAACATTACAAATGTCACTTGTTTTTTTTCTATAAATAATATTTATATTTTAAATTTTCTTTAATTATTCAGTCCATGTGGCGGCATCTATTGCCGGCTGAATATTCGCCGCCCATTACTTAGTTGCTCTTTAATCTCGTTAATAGTTTTCGAACGTAGTAATTTTTACATAGTTGAGGGTCGACAGGTTGACAGTGTTTTTCTTCAGTACTGTCAAATGAAATCTATTTATTCTCGAAGAGAAAATTGAAAAGTCCCTTTTTTTATCTGGCCGTTGCCCTGAGAGCTCGACTCTCAATTGTGGCTTCGGGGGCCAGTCATCTTCCAAAATAAATTACTGTTCTCGTGGAAAAAGTATCTTATTATACAAAATAACGTTGCCTAAGTACATTGATTGCCGAGAAAATTGAAGTAGAAAGTCTTGTGATTGTCGGTTTATTCAAGTTTGAATTTCGAAACTCACGTGGGTTTTTCCGAGTGCCTATTTTTACCGTGGGCCTACTTTGACCTTTATCTTCCGAGAAGCTATTTTTCTCAAGGGATCCTTTTTTACAAGCCCCATCTCTGGGCATAAAGCTCTTGAGTCCTGCACGTGTCAATTCCTGTACATCTATCTTTGACGAAGAAAACTGAACTTCTGGCCTCTATCTTCCAGGCTAGAATCTACGATTTCCAGTAACCATAAAAACTGGATGGCTACCGACTACCGTAATCTACCTTTCCGTTAAAAGTTGGAATTGAGGCTTGTATAGAGTTTAGTTATTATCTTTTATGTCTTTTTCTTCTTAATTCCGTTCTATATTCAATTAACATAGGTAATTAATTGATTACATTTTGACCGACATTACCTATAGATTTCAATTATGTTATTCTTGACACCAGAGTGAACTCTATTTTTTTAAATTTTATTTTGCCGTATTTACTTTAGATTATTTTTTACTTAACTTTTAGTACCGTTATATTTAAATATTGCCTTACATCTTATCTTTTCCTATTAATCATAATCATTTATCTGAACTGAGGTCAAGGTTGGACACTATGTTCTAAATTTTAAATTATTGTGTAAGTACCTTAAACGTCAAAAATTGATCAATTTTTAACCCTGGGTCCTACGACTTGTATATTTGCGGATTTCTATTGAATCTCCAGACTATTTAACCGTTATATAGCCAGCCCAACTTTTGATTTCTTTCAGGTACAAATTGATTTTATCAAATTTATTTTATTTTTTTTGTTGAAATGATATGGTACATACTAGGTATATTAAGGTACATTCTATTCTTATTATTATCTTTTTTTTTTTTGAATTTGGTAAAACTGCAGATTGAAAGTTGACCTCTATTGGTTGATTTTCTTTAAATTCTTTTATCTAACTATATTGGTTGGTTTTTGATTTTCAACCTCACTGTGAAATATACTATTTTAATTTGAAACTTACTCAATTATTTTATTGGTTAACCTAGGTCAAGGTTTGTTGAGTTATGTGCATTATTTATTTCTTTTTCAGGATTACCAATTACCGTTTGCTAATTATTTTCTAGGTGTGTTTCTGAATTTTCACACATATTTTATGCAATTTTATATATTTTTCCAAAATTCAGTGGCGCCCTAGCCATACTGTACTTATTAAATACTATCAACCCACCCCTAATAATTATTGGCTGAGCAAACCGAGCATATTATGGGCTTCTTGTTAATTCGTTAAAAAAGGGGTTGCACTGCTCAAAATTAAACGCTCGGGCTCGAAAAATATAAATGTTCTAGCAATAATCCACAGATGAGAATAGAAAAGAAGGCTCTGGCACAGAGACACGACTCGGTCGGATGATTCTCTAGCCAAGACTACCTCTTGGCTTTTTAAGGGTCTTTTTGGGTCATTGCATCAGACTTTCAGGTAGTGCACTTATCATAATTCAGGTGGTTTGGATGGATATCTTCACACCAAGATGTTTTTTTAGAAACTAAAAACAAAATTACTGAACAAAAAACAGCCTTTGCATGCATCAAGCGCAAAATGATATTAGGTGCCTGGACCCTACACTGAGCTTGAATTGTATGTGTCGATGATCCGAACACGAAATGATATCACTATTTATAACCAACAATATGATGGAGTCGGGCTAATATTTTGCAGAAAACAATGTTTGGCCCTTTCTATCTCATTAATTTTCTTTTGTCCGTTGTCCTTTCTCATGAGTTTATTGTGTAGGTAAGATTTTTTTTGTCAGGTTAATGCCTGGAAAGCAGGTTCTTGCCACTAACTAAGAAGAGGAAACTTATTTATAGAATAATATATTGAATAAGGAATTGGAAAAGCTGGTTTTTTTTTCTTTTTTCAGGCTGTCAATTTTTATTCGATGCGAAATATTTGAACACAAATATTTACCATTACTGAGGGGCATGTTATCTTTTAGGCAGACTTTATTTAGGAAACATCCGAAAGGAAGCAGATATGGGTATTATAATATAAGTAGACAAAAAAGTTTGACGAGATATTAAGTGTTTGCCAAGATTGTTGAGGCCAACAATTCGTTTTGGGTCCTGACATTTCCAATTACCAAAAAAAAATCTTTTTAATTAAATATGACATCTGCTTTTATAATGGAAAGGTAAATGGTGTTTCGGCAATTGCAAAATATTTTATTCCTTATATAGTATTTGAGAAATTGCCATCATCCTTTATCTTTTTGTCGTAGTTTGTGTAGCACATGCTCTACTAGAGTGTGATAACTGGAAAAAGAAGTGATGCTCTTCTTTAGAAAGAGGACTCCAGTTTACAACAAAAAAATAATATTAATAGGAGAGAGAATGGATATTATAGTGCTCAAAATTCTAGTCTAGACATGGCAAACGATCAAACAAAGTGCAAAAAGTAGCAATGACATCAGATAATAAGAGAGATATTTGGAAAACATTTTTATTTATGCTGTTTCATATCTTTGATTTATTCAATAATATATTGTATTATTTTTTCAAAACTGATGAAATGCGAAACGTCGATTTAGTAAGATATTTTTCCATGTTACGAGCTAAACCAAATATTCAATTTCTGATTCTGCATAAACAAGCTTCTTGCATTAAAATTTCCCGAAAAAATGGCTTTTTGAAATAAAATATCCTAAGCGGACATGATCTCCGCCTAAAACCTCAAAACTGTCATTGCATAGTAATTTTATCTCTAAAAGCAGCATTATGTATATAGGAGGACCCTTTCTCGTCATTTTTAATTTCGAAATTATTCTTTCTGTAATCCAGATTTATGTTTCATATTCCCGGAACGCACAAAATGAACCATTTTTTTTCTCGACGGCCCATAATTTCTGCCCAGTTAATTGAAAAAAGAAAAACATTTAATAAACATTTAGTACACGGACTTTAGATGGAAGGATGTTTAACGAAATGAGTTTCGAAGGCATCTTAAATTTATGAAGCTTTATAGCTTAATGTAGTATGAAGAAAATTTATTTATTATGGAGAGGCGAATACTTAGAAACGTTCTCAGAACTTGGATCACAACAACATAGAATTTCATTATGTGACGTTATTTCATCACATAGACCTATGCTAAAGTAGAATAATTTCTATGAGGTTAAATTATATATGGTCAGAAAATATAATTTGTAACAAACCCATATTTATATGTAACAAACCAACAGAAGTCAATACATGACCAAGATATTTAATGTTTGTACTGGCAAAGGTACATTTCTCTCTGTTAGCTCGTAGGTTGAATTTTTGAAGTCGGTCAAATACTTTTTGCAAGTCGTTTAAGTGTTCCTGATAACCCTAGCAGATCATCCAAATATGCAATTACCATGACATCAAGACGACTCTTGAATGTATCTATTAGCCTCTGGAATACAGCCGGAGCGTTTTTAAGACCGAACGGCATCCTTTTAAACCTGCATAGACCAAAGGGGGTGATAAATGCCTTTTTATCCCGATCCTTTTCCTCTACTCATATTTGCCAAAATCGGAACTGTAAGTCTATTGAGGACATATATTTCGTCTGTATTGCATTTTATCAATTTTTACCTTTAATATTTCTCGTTTGGTTTTGTTGATAGGGTGGTAAAGAAATTGGAATAACAGTAGGCTGGGTTCTAATGTGCAATGTGGCAAATTTCGTGGCCTGACCACTGGACTTAAAGACTTGTGAATTTGCTCGTAACATCTTCTTCAGTTGATTCCGCTCCTCCAACGTTAACATAGCTCCTTCATTAGTGCTCAGAGAACTAAAGTCATTGATGGCCGGTGAAGTTGTTTCACTGGATGCAACCAACAATCTCCGAGATAGTATATTTATTTTGGGAATTCGCTCCAAATTGCCAAGATCGGTTTGATAGGTCCAGCACAATCTCAGAATTTCTTATAAAGTCGGCCTCACGTTGGGCGCCAACATACCAAATTACTGTTAACACAAGTTTCGTTTGATATGACTACTTTATTTCGCAGAAAACTAACATTTTTAAATTATTTTGATTGATTGATTAACAATGGGTTTGTTCGGACTTAGTTCAAAATCAGTTCTAAATTGAGCTGCGCATGCGCATTCGTTTATCTATGTTCGATATGAACAAATGCGCAAGCGCAGTTCAATTCAGAACTGATTCTGAACTAAGTCCGAACAAACCTATTACCGTTGACAAAAAATTCTACCAGTTTACATGTGGCGATAGGTAATAGGTATTATATAGGTTATACAACTCACTGTACATTATTCCCATATGACACGAGAGGATTAATAAGTGATAATCCTTCCCATATGACACGAGAGGCTTAAAAAGTGATAATCCTTTTGCACGGTAACTGGTGTTTTGACATTTTTTGACAAAAAAATTTAAATTTTTGATTCATGAAATTATTAATTAATAAAGAATTAAAGTTTAGTTCGTTGTATAACCTTTTGAATACCACTCGAGTTTTCAGGATTACCTAATACTTTTACCTGACACTCAACGCGTTACCAGCAACACCACTCCTCCTTCGGAGTCGTGGTGTTGCTGCGTAACGCGTTTCGTGACAGGTAAAAGTATTATCCGGTAATCCTGAAACCTCTTGTGGTATTACATTCGATAATATGGAGATAAATATGGGTTTGTTACAAATTAAATCTGGAACATGGTGTCCCGTTTATTTAAACTTGTAGTATGAGACTCTATATATCAATGGGAAACTTGACTCAATTTTTTTTATTTCTGATTTCATTAGTCGATGAAAATTTAGTCAACCTATGATTTTTCTTGATAGGCAAAAATTGCCAGAGATACAACGCTTTGAAATGTGCTTATTTTTCATACTCTATGACGTCACACATGCTCAGTATATCTAAGGTATATATACAAAACTTAATATTTGTATAACTTTCGGAATATTAGGACAAAGTAAAAAAAATACGTATAGATTTTTTTTCGATTTCCTACAGTTTGCAATAAACAATAATCAATTTAATTTTCATTTAAGTTCCCTATTATTTTGTTCAATTATAATTTTAACAATGAAACGCATAATTATGTTGTTACTACAAGGAAAGCGGCATTATTCATCCTAGATGGAAATAATTACAGGCCGAGTTGATTTATTTCAAATTATATTGTTGATTTGAGCCCTAGTCTGGCGGAAATTAAGGAATGTAATATTATGCATTTATGCTATGGAATATACTTGTATAGATGCATAAGGCGTGTATAACCAAGCATGTACTTAGAAATACTGCTACTTGCAATAGTATAATTCATACCTAGGTAGAAAGTTTTATGAAACTGTTTCTAAATTGATGAATGGCTGAAAACTAACTATTCTTAAATTGTGTTGAATTATGATGCAAATCATCACGATATTCGTCCAGGGAAAAAGTCAATTCTAAAATTGAACTAATACATAAGTTTGAAAATATGCCAAAGTTTTTGTACTTCTTTAGTTTCCCTTATTGAGTATCTCCATTGAACTAAACAAACACTTTGGAACGGGCGCACTGCTTCATACTAGTTCGTGCCCAATTTTGATGTATGCAACCCAGCAATACGGAGGGATTAGTGTCTCGCTCGTACTCATTGCGGTTGATGTAAAAGAAAGGAGAGCTTCTTCATCTTCCTAACCTCAATGATCCAAACACTTTGAACAGCTGTTCTCAATAGCCGCCATAGTGTAGAGAGAGACACAAATTCCTCTTGTTTGTTGTCCTTCCTGGCACAAACCCTCGCGTAGAAATAATTATGCAGCCGTCTTTCCAGTGTGTTTGTTTAGTTCATTGAGTATCTCAAATGCCTGTCGCCTGACAGTTATTTCCTCAAAGTTTAATATATCTAAAAATAAAGCATAATTGTTTTTTCTTACAACTATTTATATAAACATATTCATGGCTTCTATAGTTAATTAGTTACTTGACTGAATTTATTATGCAAACTATTAATAAACATACAACCTAAATAAACCATTAAAAGTCTAACAATACCCAGAAGCTATTTTTGTATATGTAGGTACTTTGTTTGGAACAAAATATAATTATTTCTAAATAGGTACCTATACCTGTATCAATTATATCTAATTTCGTATTATCATCAGCACTTATACTTCTGATCTGAATTTATGTTATGTTTACCATTTCCAAATAAGAATCATTTGTTGTTTTTCAGAAACTACTTATTGACAATAATAATAAGTCTTGGAAGTTTCTATCAACCATTGACTTTGTTAGAATAACTGTTTCAAATCTTATATAAATATAAACTTCGTCTCTATATTTCAGGTTGCTATAAGCTTCGCCATCCCCCAAGCCATTCCTCTAAAAGTAACCGGCGACTGTCCGACATGTCTACCAACAGAACCAGTAATGAGTCACTCCTTTGAGATTTCCACATTTGTTTTCTTCATCGCACCAATGACTCTAATCACGGTTCTCTATATTTTGATTGGCTCCACATTGAGCAACTCTAATATGATGAAGACCAGGAGCGATAGTCGAAGAGTGCACAGCAAGTCATCAAAGAAGGTGGTGAAGATGTTGAGTAAGTGATTTTTTCGAATTATCTATGAACAAATTTAAAATGTAGTAGGTACCTACTCTAAGAAGATTCGAATAGCTTGTAGCTGTCCGCCCATGTACTATTTTAATTAGTCAGATTGTAAATGGCGAGCGGTTTTACTGATGATATTTATTTCCTTGGGTAGCTACAAATAAATGCGAATGAGAGAAACAACTGTAATAAGGTTTCCATACCTAATAAACTATCTCAGACTATCTCGGACGTTTACCTGAAATCTTCTATTTCTAAGAAATATAATAACCTATTTGTTCGACCGAGGATGTCGCAATTTCCTTGATTATTGGATATCGTAAAAATGTATCAAAAGATGCCTACTGTCGGCCATAGATATTTTCTTTTGTTTTTTAATATGAATCTATCACTTGGCCCCTCGATTTACTTACTTTAACCTTCTTCTGTTGCTTAACTTATGGGTTCATTTTCAGGTTCAGGAACCTCGCTATGATATAAGACTGGCACATAGGCGTATCCAGGGGGGTGGCTGCCGGGCTGCAGCCCCCCCAAGGCATGTCTTGACTTTTTTTTCAGCGTATTTTATGTGACATGTATATTAAAAAAAAAAAAATGGAAATATGTAATAGCTGTTTATATAAGTACATAAAGTAAAGCTTTATTGTACGAATGTATTTCTTTCTATAATAGTTTTTCTATGGCGGGCGCCTAATGCAGCAAGGGCAGTGCTCAATTATCTTGAATGTCCGTAATATTTCCTTCCTCAGGAGAGAAGAGGCTCCGTGAACAAAATTTCTCATCCTTACCAAAAAAAAAAAAAAAAGAATAAGTGGCCAGATGCGAACATTTTTGTCGCCCCGCAAAAAAGAATAGGCGCGTAACATTTGGGTATGTTACAGATGAATTCCTGACAAAAATAGGCAACTTTCACATTTTTAAATTAATTTGCTAGTCATTCTGATAACATCTGTATACTTTTTTCAAAAGAAAAAACGCCTAGGTATTTTTGAAAATGATTTGAAAATCGAATGTTTAAACTACTGCGAAAACGCTGGATAGGAAAGAGGCGTCACTTTCCCAAACATGCGAGGATGCCAAATTTCTCATTAGAGTCATTGTAGAGAAAGGCATATATGCAAAGTGCATATTTTGCATAATTTGCATATTTTATGCATTTTTATTTCATTCTGCATATTTCTTCGAAAACCTGAAAATAGTGCATAAAATCTATCAAATTTAGACAAAAGGTTTCAATGAAAGAAAGAATTTTTAAATATTCAACCATTCAGCAGGTACGTAATTACCGGAAAACCCACCGTGAAAGATGCTTCACTGAGCCTTGTTATGGAAATTGCACCACTATTCATACTGGTGATTAAAACCTAATTCAACCATTAACTACCTACCTGAGTATGTACGTAATTTGGGACCTACTTGCCTGGAATAGTAGAGCAATAAATATTTATAGTAAGTATCGATTTTTGAAGATGTCCATATTCATTCGAAGTTGTGATTTTGTGTACTGTGCATCGTTTATACAGCTCCGTTCAAATTTTTGTGAAAATGCCTAAAGTTTCAAGTGCAAGTATCTCCATATGGATAAAACCATACAAAGAAATGTATACCTATTGACATGGGGAAGGTTTACTGCTCCTCTTGTAGTAAAATAGTAAGTTTTATTATCCTAACTTCTATATTATTTTTTGTAACAATAGCTATTTTGCGGACTCATTCCAGTACGTAGAAAGCTTCATTTTCCGCCTAGTCCTTAAAAGTCATAGCAAAATTTGCAGGCTATTTTAAATGATTCAGTACTTAGATAATTATTTTGAAATTTTTTGACAAAATTGATACATACACAAAACATGTATGGTATAATATTTTATGTTTTTTTTTTCCAAAAACCACTTTTATACAGGGTGTTTGGCGGAAGGTTAGCCCAACTTGGTGGGCGTATAGATAGGCCCCTTTCGAAAATATTTTATTAATACACTTGTGGCCTTAAGTTCCCCTTTTTTTTATCATTGCTTTGGTATTGTTCTTAAGAATTTTCAAAAATGGACCTTTTAACTTCTGCATATTTTGACTAAAATATATGCATATATATGCGCATATTTCTTATACTTTCATATGCATATTTGCCTTTCCCTAGTCATTAGTAAACCATGCCAAAACATGGCTGACATAAAACTAGCCACAACGTATGACCTTTTTTCATTTTTTACTAATTTATGGAAAAAGGAAGAATAGGTATAATCGGTGAACTTCTTGGCTCTTGCTAACTAGTAAAATGATCCTAAAATATTTCGACATTTCTATCGCATGAATATCGGCATTAGCCAATGGGGGGCACACTTTTTGTTAACAGAGCCATCCCCAAACCAAAATCCTGGATACGCCTATGGACTGGCACCTTAATTTACTTTTATTTCCAGAAAACTCTCTTTTTGTATTTTAAGTCTCTGCAAATCAATGCTTCATTAAGCTCTATTCGATTCGTTTAAAATAAATTGTGCCCTGAGACAAACGGAAAAAGGCGAAAAATTTTGAGTAATGCTCTGTTTAATATAAATCAGGAAACTTCTTCCTATAATATTGAATTATTATTATCTCTCTGAAGGAAAGGACATTCAACCCAATTAAGTTAAATGACAAAGAAAATTTATAATAGGATTTTTTATGTCACGAAAATAAAAGATAATCTGCCAGAAAATGCCGACATTTAAGTTTTAAATTTCGTTATATTTTAATTTTATCATTTCTCCAGAATTATGGGACCTCTAAAAGCCCGTAAAAATATACTTCTGCTGCTTTATATTCCCTCTAATTTGCGAGACCGTGGCAAAATTTTGCATGAAATAGCGTCATCATTAAGGTCTATAAAAATATTTTGCAGGTATTTTTCTGGCTTGTTTCAAGGGATGTAATTTTTTGTGCTCACTTTATTTTCGTAAACATTTAAAGTGTTTCCTCTAAATTAATTTACCCAAAATACAAAACAGTATGAAATTCTTCTGAAATTTCTCCGACAGAATGGTAACTTTTACCATTTATCTTGGGAATATTTCCATTTATTATGACTCCTATTGAACTCTAGAATTGCCAGAAACGCAAATATAAGGAAACCGCAAAGTAAACTCTGATTTATTCGCAATCTTCCTCAATTCCAGCTCAACATTAACCATGTTCTATTAACGAACAAAAAGATTTATTTCTGTTCAGGTCTGCACAATAAAAAGCTACCTATTCTGTTGACCCATTTTCTTTTTCTATTAGGAATTTCGCGGTCGGTCAGAGGGAAACTTTGTGGCTTGAAAGCATCTTTGCGGGTGCTGTTTTTTCTGCAAATTGAATTTAGGGCTTGTAAAAAATTTTATCTGAATATTTGATTTGCGTTTCATAATTACGTAGCCATGACTTTAAGGTCAGAGCAAAGAAACTTTGAGGAAAACCACCTATTTAAAATATTGTTTCTTCAAATTAATTATTTCTTAAATTCTTGAAACGTTTACTAAATAAAAGTGAATGTTGCAATCCTGTATGCGCTGTGAAGTTTTCCGGAACGGGGGCGCGCCACCGTTTGTCCGCCATTGTTCATTATTCAATTTTTATTTTGTAGTAAACTGATTGTTGAATCCAAATTGTAATTAGTTTATGTCTCATAAGGAGCCTTCACAGGTCAGTTGAATAAATGTTATTTTGTTTTTGAAAGTTTGTAGTGGGTATCGAAGGGAGCTCCAACACTATGCACTACACATTGTTTTTCAATATTTTTATTTAACAATTTAACTGGAAAAATACAAAGTCGGCAAAATAATAGCAAAAATTACTGATAATCAGACTGATAATGAACTTGATCGGGGAAACTGGGGGAAACCAGAGATAGGGGAAACTGATTGACTGATTGATGACACTTGTCAGACATGGAAGTGGCTATGGCTACGGCAACGGTAGTGGCTGTGGCGTCGCAAGTGTAGGCGTTACATTCTCCCCCTTTGGAACTTGCAGCGTCTCGCCAAAGTTCCAACAAAATTAGACATCGCCAAAAAAACTTTTGGGTCGTCGAACCCTTTAAATCCTTCTACCAGGTGGACGACCTCTCCTCTATGTCGAATAAGCTTAACAGGAACTAGATCTTCGTCACCTATGTACTTGCTGAGAGTTGAGATGAATGGTCTGTACCGACCGGTACTGTTGGAGATTGGGTGGAGGCAATCTGATAAGAGTTTGACGATACTATCTTCAGGAATATATAGGGGCCATCTTTTCTAGGGGCAAACTTGGATGTGTAAGACTGCGATCCTTTGCTCAACAAATGCGAGTTGATCAAAACCTTTTCTCCTGTGGTTCATTGCGTCGATGTTTGTCAGCATACATCTTGGACGCATCCTTTCTCAGTTCATTTGTCTCTCTAACGTTGGACAGAACATTAGCAACAATCTTTATAATTTTGCGGGGTTCTCAGTTCATGGGCAAAACATAAATAGGCAGGGCTGTAACCAGTAGATGGGTTGTTGGCAGAGTTCATTGCAAATCTCACAGAAGGCAAGACTTCTTTCGATTTCGTATGATCCCTTTCCACAAGTATTGCTAACTGGGTCTTTAGATCTCTATTTCTTCTCTCTTCAAGATTGGAAGCTGGGTGATACAACGGTATAAGATTTTGGGTAAAACCGAGGCAGTGAGCAACTTGTTACATGACACCTGTAACAAACTGCGTGCCATTGTCACTGATGATCTTTCTAGGAGCTCCATATCTGATAATAACTTCATCGATAAGGCATTTTGCACAAGCTTTAGCTGTAGCATTTTCCAGTGCGAATAACTCTATCCATTTGGTGGCAGTATCTTCTATAACGAAAACCCACCTTTCACCTGTTTCTGCTTCAGGCAGTGGTCCAAATAAATCCATAGCTAAGATTTTAAATCGCTGAGCCAGACCAGGAGTCTGAGTCAAACCAGAAGGCTTAAGATTCGTTGGTTTGTATCTTCGACATTCTATGCATTTT